AAGATAAGTTCCATATCTCTTTAATTACATAATTGAAAGCATTAAATTTATTTAGCAGTTATTATTTGGCAACAAAGCCACCACTGGAACTGCCGCCTATTACCAAGTAGAAGAGTTATCACGCTAAATTTTATAGCTGGAAGCCGGCTAAGGAGACCCTGCTTCCATTTCGGGTTGCCAATTTCCAGCATTTAAGTAGTAGTCTGTAGCGATACGCTATATTGTCTGTGTTAGTATTCTTATTAATTCTTTATTATGTACGTTTTTTATAACAGTAAGACTAATTATTTTAAAACATAAATTAGTTTTATTTACAATTATTGAATTATTGACGAATCTACATACCAGTATTAGTTAATACTGAATAAATCATGTGAAAACTTAAAATTTTTAAAATAATTTTTTTGTATTCGGCGCTTCGTTCTTTCGTTCTCATTAACATACAAAACAATATGGTCTTTAAATTTCACTAAATTATTTTTAATAGGTTTCGCTGTCTAACAGTTCAATAAAAAATATTATTTACAATTAGTAACTTATCTCCGTACCAATATTAGTTAATATTTTTATTTGTTTGGAAACTATAGAATATTGTCATAATGTTCGGCGCTTCGACCACAATGATATCAAAAAAATATGGAGACTTTAAAATAACGTGTCTCTAAAAGTTATACAAAAGCAATCTGTTTTACTTATTTTTGGCTGTAACTATGTACAATGTAGGTTGACTTAAAGACAAGAGTTAAAATGCAGTTTAAAAAACTAATTATGGCACGTCTATTTATTTGATTAAAAAAATAATTATATCAGATTCGTAATTCTAAAAAACTGACACCCATAAGGTTCAAAATTAAATTCTACTAACGAATGATCTTAGCTATTAGCTAGGTAGTGGTGTGTAATTCAATGCTGGACGGGGCATGTAGTCCGCAGAGTATATATAAATATAAATTTTACATCTGAATATCGACTACTTTTGTATTATTATTGTGTTCGAAAACTGTTGCCAGGAATCAGATACAGCTTGTCAAATGTAACGTAGCATTTTAAAAGATGCGCAGTGGTGGAAGCGAGAAAGTACAGAGAATGTCTACGGCTTGGACGCTCTATCGATGTAGTTATTTCGCCCGCAATGTTATATTTGTACTTCTACTTTCTTAAAATATAAAACCAGTTTTTAGTTGACACTCGATCTGAAACTGAAAATTCCAAGAACACCTATTAAAGCTCAACTTTTTATCGGGTTCACTCTTCTAATTGAAACAACATTCATTTTTTTGTAGACTATTGCATTTTAGGTAGTAATTCCCTTATACTCACATAGTGAACAACTCTTCTCCTCTTTACATTTATTTAGTAGTTAATACAAAATATAAATACCACTACCACATATTAAACATATTCAGCGCTAATAAAAAGTGTAGGAAGGTGAAACGGTTAGAGCATGTGGTTGAGATAGGCAACACAATATACATCACATATTGCACATTTTTGTACAAATGTATCAAAGATCCTTGGGGTCAAATAACACAATTTTAAACTTGCATATGATCAAAGCGCTTCGTTTAACGACTAGGAGGTATGAAAATTCGTAAAAATTTAATTATTTTTCTAACTAAAATTATTGAAACTTGTAACATCAATCCTAAAACGGTTTTTTCTATTAAAATGACAATAAAAATTTAAAATGAGAAACGTTATAATATAGGTACATATATTTCTACGAAACAAATTGTGCCTGACCGGTGCTCAGTGGCGGAACTATCATACAGCAAAAAGGAACAGATCGGGGGAGAGGGGTGCGGAGCCTCCTTCTAGCGGCGGCCCTAGCCCTTGATCAGAGTAGAGCAAGATTGTCTTTCGCCCTTTGGTCGACGCTTTCACATCACGTAAATTGGACAGAGAGATCCAGAATTATTGAAGTGTTTGGATATCGCAGCATGTGCGCATGTGCCTGTCTCTGTCAATATGCTACAGATTTTTATATGCTAAAGATGGGTTTCCCCAAACGCTCAATCATTCTGGATCTCTCGATATTTCCGTTTATGTTAAATAAATAATAATTACCAACTTTTACAAAAATCAACTTTTATTTCAAAAAACAACACTTATTGAATTTAAATTGAATTAGGTATGTAGCTCTAATTATTACACTCCTGCTTCTGTAACATAAACAAAGTTCCTACCGTTATACAGGGTGTCCTGCATAAGAATCCCCACAGAGCAGATGCATGTAGGAGTGTCCAAAATATTGTAATTTAATCAAACTTACCTGCACCCCTGAGGAGTTATGAGCCCCCAAAGTGGGGCTATAAATTTCGAAAAAAATTAATATCTCTGCAACACTTTACCATAGGATAACCAAATTTGATATATGATTTAGGTTTATTACTGGGATTCTTTGACTATGATTTAAAGTTAATTGAAGAACTACAAGGTGTTCATTGAGGATGACCCACCTCTAAAATTGTACCGAACTTTTTTCTCATTGACCGAATTGAAAAATAATAATATTAATTCAATAGAATTTAATTTAAAAAAATTTTTAACTCTTGTTAAATTTTAAAAAACTTTATGGTTTTCAAGAAAAACCGTATTAACTGAAACAAGATTTTAACAGTGTTTATTAGAAAATAATCGAAAAGTCAGTAGTTGTCTTTCAAACTTGTGAGTTAGTAATAAAATTATTTTATTTCAAAAAACAATATCAATTATTATTTTTATTTTTTATTTGAGTTTTTTACTCAATACAATATTCGCTTATTTAAAAACTACCTAGGTATAAGTCCTTCCGAAGTCAGTTGAATATGCAAAAAACGTCTGGTAATAAAATTTAATTAGTTTCATAGGCGTCCCTAAAAAAATTTTCTGCTAAAGGTAAAAAATTATAATAATTTGTACATAATGTATAGAAAATTTCTATTATATGTTCATTTGGCCAACAACATATTTTAATTATTTATGACCCCAAACAATTTTATTATATTAGTGGTAAATTTTGTTTTGTTCCGTTTCAAAAGGTCTCCAAAATGCCATGTTGTGATAATATTTATGTTAGCAATATTTTTTCCACAACCCCAATAGAAATGATATTGGACATTATTTTTACTAATGTCTTGAATATCATTTATAAATTATTTTAAGTATAAAAAAATAAATATTGTTAATTTTCAGGCATACCATTTTCAAAGAGACGATGTTGCTTTATTAGGATTCTATAAATACTTCAAGGAAGCTTCTGAGGAAGAAAGAGAACATGCTTATAAGCTTTTGGAGTACCAAAACAAGAGAGGTGGTCGTGTTGTGCTGACCAACATTGAAGCTCCTGAAAAACAAGAATGGCACAATGCCGCAGAAGCCATGAATGCTGCTCTCGATTTAGAGAAAAGAGTAAATGAGGTAGGAACAAAGTTTTTCCACGGGGTCTTAAATTCAATAAATTCAATTTTGATATTGTATTGTTTTTTTTTAACTACAAAACTATACAATCAATTCGTTTTAAGTCTAACATTCTCTGTATTATGTTCAAAAATAATCAGCAATTTTATTTAAAAAAATGGAACATATTTGAGCATATTTCACCATTTAAGTTCACAGTATTGAATATTTTAATCCCAGTCTTAATTCACCAAGCAAGGCCACACCATTTTTGGGGTCAACATTGCTATCGGTTAAAAAATGTCAAATACACATTATATTATTACAATGAGTATTAAATTTAATATTGATGATGATGACATATACAATCACAAATAAAAAGGTTGCAAGTAGCCCACCTTGAAGAAAACATCATTTTGGTAGGTACTGTGACCTTAAGAGATGGCAATTGAGAAAATTAGTGTGGTATACTTTTACTATTAACCTTTCAGTTTTGCAAAGGCGTTAGAATATTAACATATTTTTCCTTCATTCACTTATATCTCACAAACTATCTCCATTCATGTTATTGATGCTATTGGGAATAAAATGGTTTGCACGTTTTTCATAAAAATTTNTGATCCATTTTAATTATTACAGCATTTTAAAACGTCCCAGTTGTGTTTTTTTAATTTATAAATTTATTATAGCCATGGAATTAGACCCCTCGTCTACGCTTATGCTATGACGTTTCTCAGGACGGCTAAATCAAGTCCGTTTACACCCACTAAAAAAGAATTTCCCTATTCCTTACCAAGTGCAAAAGACAGAGATAGAATATAGATCGACGTTCAGTGTAACTCAGTCTATAGACGATTATAAATTCTATCGATGTGCGTAGTGAGCGGCACAAAGATAAATAATATTGAACCGTTATAAAAATCATTTTATATTTTATGCACGTTATAGTAATAGTGTATTTACAGGGGTGGAAAATCCACATGGTCCATCTGCTTTTACATGAGAACGACAAAGCAAAGTAAAGAAATCCGTGCGATAGACAAGGATGGCAAGAGTGAAGACGTTTCATAATCTGAATAGTCACCGCCCGTTTCGAGTTAGAGATTATGAAACGTCTTCAATGTAACTATCCTTGTCTATCGCACGGATTTCTATGACTTACTTTATCGCTCTCACGTAACGGCCGATGAACCATGGGGACTTTCCGAACCTGTATATTATGTCTTAGTCACTCTCTATAATTTCGACCGCGGAATATAGGCCGTTCGCGGCCAGAGGACAGTATGCAGTCGACGAAAAGGTATCTCAAAAAGAAACAATTCACTGCTTAAACTTATAATAGGGTAATAAAATTACTAAATGTAATAAACAATAATGATGCGTAATTAGTCAGATCTGATAGCGTCGATCCCAATGCCTCCTGTATGGAGTTTATACGAGTAAAAAAAAAAGATACGCGAGACATAATGTTTATATAAACGTAAGTTTTAATTTTTACTCAATATTTAATAAATCATAAATAAGTCCTTCCGCTTATCTACTGCGTCTAAAACTGGATCCGAATTTGTATGTGCGGCCAATAATAAGAGTCTTCATTCCTTTAGTCCAGGCGGTATCCGTTTTAAAAAGGGTATACTTGGGTAAAACGCATATGATCGGAGATTTTTGCTTTAACGGCTTCTAAATAACATCAGAAATGATCATTTTTCTATGCAAATAAAAAAAATGTGGGTATTGCAAAAAAGTATAAAAAAATATCAGAAAAAAAGTCATTTTTTTCTTGGATTTCTCGTCGACAACTTAGCAACTATTCATTTTAGACAAAAATGGAAGAGGAAAAAAAATTTGTAATTAAATTTTGATCAAGATAGACTTAGTTGCAATTCGAAAAAATAATTATTGTTATTGCAAAAATCGGAAAAATCATTTAAAAAATTGCAAACAATGCTATTTGTCAATTATTCCGTTATTTTCGGAGTTATAGCCCGTTAAAGTTAACCCTTGTTTACAGCAAAACTATAAGGGTATAAGGGCTGTTTTTTGAACTAATAGGTTTGTCATTCCGAGTACTTTCCAGATATAAATTTTTAAAATTTGCAATGGGACGCCCCATTTAAAATGTCACTCAAAGATATTCAAGACCGCGTGAAATCAATGAAATATCAGTGGAGGGGGGAGCAAACGCATAGCTACTCCGATCTGAAGTCTCGAGTTCAAAACTGCGCTGGGGCGGAAAAATTTCATTTATCTCAGCTTAAAAAATTTAATTATCATATTTTCAATTACCTTTTATTATTAATTATTGGACTTTTGACATGCCGATAAACAGTTACTTTAAAAAATGATTAATTTATTATGTTTATTTATTTACTATGTTCATATTCTCGACCAAAATTTTTGCATGTTGACCAGGTAATAATTTTGTTTAAATATTATAAAATTGTTTAAACAATATTATAATAAACAACTGAAAATTGGTATTAATTTTTAGTTGTACGATAAATTTCTAAAAATCTTTCAAAAAAAATAAATTGTGAATAATTATAATTTTAATTTTTCGTTTACTTTTAAAATATTTATCTAAAATTTATTTTTTATTTATATAAAAAAGTATAAGAATCTTTTGGATACTTGAATAAATAGTACACACTTTTCATGATTTTTCAAATTTTAAACTATTTATTTCAATTTTTATTTACATTTAATATAATCTAATTCTTTTACTAGTTGGTGATTTTTCACATGCCTCATCAGTATTATCACAATCTATTTCGTCGTCGATTTCCTCGTCCTGCAACTGCAAAATATCATTTTCTAACGACTCTGAAATCTGATTGTCGAGTTCTCTTGCACTTTCTTCTAACATGTCTTCTTCAAAATCGATTTTGAACTCGTCTACTTTCACAGTTTTGTAAGCATTTTACACATTTGCCCTTGGCAATGGGTGTAATACTTCTACAAAATCGATTTCGAACTCGTCTACTTTCACTGTTTTGTAAGCATTTTTACACATTTGCCCTTGGCAATGGGTGCAATACTCAGAGCATTTTTGAACTCGAGAATTCAGATCGGAGTAGCTGTGTGTTTGCTCCCCCCACCACTGATACCTCATTGATTTCACGCGGTCTTGAATATCTTTGAGTGACATTTTAAATGGGACGCCCGTGATTGCAAATTTTGAAAATTTATATCTGGAAAGTACTCGGAATGACAAACCTATTAGTTCAAAAAACAGCCCTTATACCCTTATAGTTTTGCTGTAAATAAGGGTTAACTTTAACGGGCTATAACTCCGAAAATAATGGGCGGATTATCAGGTTTCTTTTAAATACTCGTCTTCCCGAGTACTTTCAAACCATATTTTAAAATTAAAAAAAAATTGAAAAAACCATTAAATTATTGCATTTGTTTATAAGCGTGAAAATTGTGAAAATGTTTAAACAATCACCACGGCTCACCTAATCGTCCGATTTGAATTTTTCAAAAATCATTTTAAAGCTTGAGAACTCTTCTTTTTGTGGTGAAATTTTCAAGTATTCAAAGGCTTTAGACTTTTAGAAATTTGATGTGGAAAATTTTTTAATAAAAAAAAAATTTAAACAATTATTACCTATGTAAAAACTATCGAACCGAATTAGATGAAATTTGGTGTGATGATTCTATGCACTAAGAAGTTTAATTGGGAAAAGTAAAGATCCTAGGTATTATTCAAGTGTCTGAAAAAAATTGACAAATAAACTAGCATTTTTTGCCATATTTTAAATGATTTTTCCGATTTTGCAATAACAATAATTATTTTTTCGAATTGCAACTAACTCTGTCTTGTTCAAAATTTAATTACAAAACTTTTTTTCCTCTTCCATTTTTGTCTAAAATGAATAGTTGCTAAGTTGTCGACGAGAAATTCAAGAAAAAATGAACTTTTTTGCTATTTTTTTACACTTTTTTGCAATAACAATTAAGTCCGCGTTTTTTTTATTTGCATAGAAATATTATCATTTCTGATGTTAGTTAGAAGCTGTTAAAGCAAAAATCTCCGATCATATGCGTTTTACCCAACCCAAAACAGATACCGCCTGGACTACTTGTATAAACTCCATAGCCCCCTGGACCCTGGATCCTGGCGACCTAGAAACGTCAAAATGTATGGCAAGCGTCAGCCGTCAGTCTCTACGTCTAGATGAACTAAAATAGGAAAATTAATTAGGAAAGAATTAATGGCACAAATCAAGACAGAAATGCCGTTCGCGCGCGAAATGCCGATGCCGTTATTTTTTGGCGTTAAGCGCGGCCTCAATAATTTGGAACCGAGGGGGACTATCCCTCTTTGTCCTGCCTTACCTCTGTAGGCCTGAGCAGCCTCGTGAAGGTGGGACCCGTCCATCGTCTACCCCGGCCACAAGCATAGCCGGTGCAGGCGTTTTGCAGGACCTCCTCTTGCCCTGGCTGGCCCCCGCCGGCAGAGAAGCCTCTTCTGGCGCTCTACGTGTCTTGATTTTTCTTTCTTCGCCGGCTTGTCTAGCCCACCGGTTGGGTAGACGTCATGAGTAGTGGGTTTTTAGTTTGGGAATAACTTGTAGCTAGGAAAAGCACACAACCTTTGAGTCGGTGAGTAGCGGGTGGGTGCAGGTATAGAATACCTCAGGGTTACCACGGCTAGATGCCTCGGAGGACGGGTTTTTTGTAATTTGTCTCTTTTTTGGTTCCTCTTGGTCCTGGCTGTTCCTGAAACGTACAAGGTTAGCATGGGGGGGGAGGGGGGAAGGAAAGCAGGTTAGGCTAGTCATCCCGGGTCAATAAGTAAGTGTCTAAGTGTAAGTTTATGTTGGAGCGGCACGCCAAGCCACGTCAAAAGCGACGGGCCGAGCTATACGCTAAGCGCCTAGACAAATGCTACGAGGAGTGCGACAGGTGTACATGTTGGAGCGAAGCGCTAGGGACTCTTCTGGTCTATAAATATCAGTTTTGTAACGTCTTGACTCCAGTTTTAAGCTGAAAATCATATCAATATGTACACCGACTCGTCGTCTTCATCTGATGATGAAATTATGTTAGAATCGATTGCTAATAAATGGTGTTTGCTTAATAGTATAAAAAAAGGNCACACACTAAACATATAATACAGTCGCGTTTGATTTAAAGACATTGTATTTCAGCGACTAGAGCAATGCGTGTATTGCTGGTTGCTGCTCTACAAATATTTTAAAAGTTTTTGTTTACAAAATCACTTAAAACTTAGACTAAGCAAAAAACATGCGACTGTTCTTCATTTGTTTTTGTTGCACTCGCGGAAAAATTTTGAATATCTGGCACTGTACTCACTGTAGGATGTCGTTGTTCTATGTGTCTTTTTAAATTGGTGATTGAAGATTTATAACAAATATTTTGCTTGCATATATTACAACAAGCTTTACTTTCATGCGTTGGTAAAAATAAATTCCACAGGAAAGATTTTCTTCGTTTATCCATATCCAATTTTATTTGTAATAAAAATTTATTAGTAGTAACTTGGGACAAAATAACAGATCACTACGCTATATCAAATTCAAATAAATAATTCAAAAGCGAAATAACAAATTGAGCTAAATCTACGAAAGTTGGCACATGCTTGAAAAACAGCGCATAACGAAAGTATCCCTAACGCTAGCCGCTATTAAGCACGACAGGTGTCGATTTATGAACTCTGACGCGGAAATAAGGGATCACGGTAAGAATGTATGCGCGCGCTACCAGGAGCTGTTCCGAAAAATCGCAGCTATTTGTCACTGCTCTGTTGCCGGAGCAGTAGCAGGTGTCACTGTTCCGCAAAAAGAGCAGTTTAGCCCATCTCTATTTGTTCCTTAATCTTAGGATGTTGCTCCCCTTGAGTAAGGGATAGACGATAGAGCTTAGTCCTGGTGGTCCTCGCTCGCGCTACTGTCTCCAAGATGTGCGTCCCGCTGCCCAGGTATCGCGTATGTCGGCCCCAAGAAATAGATTCCTGGGACAGTGCCAGTATATGTAGGTTGGGGGGGATTTTGCA